ACACACACACACACACACACACACACACACACACACACACACACACACACACACAGCAGATACTACGCACTTGACGGAACGTCAAGATACGTGTGTGTGGGGGGGGGGAGTGATTGCATTTTTTACTTACAGAAGAGCAGGACCGTGACTGCGAGAACAGCCACGAATGCCTTTGGTCCCACTGGCTCCGCCCTGAGACTCCCAGCCGTCATCCCTTTCACTTCCTTTACCACACGCGTCGGCGTCTGCATAGTGATGACGTCACGATGACGGGACGGACGTCACTATCGGCCTATAGCACAACATAGCGCGCGCATATTTCATATCCGAGTATTTGTTAAATACTGTGACTGTTGATGCTCGTCCGTTTTCCTACTACCAACTGAACAGCTGTTATAATGCTGGTGCGGATTCCTAAGGAGTACGACCTGTTGGTGCTGCGCCGCTGGCAGTCTGACCGCCGCTACCGACGGAAAACACGCCAACGAAAATGCAAAACAGCGACAGTTGTCTGCCGACCTGCCTGCCTGATGCCTGCCTAACATATCTGCGTTTAACGCGGTGACCCAGTTACCCGCTAGTGCGTGCCACCAAACTCTAGAAGCGGGTAGCGAATTATACAGGGCGTGGTTAATACGATCTGTTGTTACAAATGCATTGTAGTCGGTTTGCACACTGGGTCAATGGCTGCGTTTGATCGACGCTGTATAGACTGTATAATAATCAACTCTTGGTTTGAACACGGTGACCCGTATCTCTTACGCTGTCCTGCTAATGTGATGAAATCGCTTGTGGGGTTCATCGCTTTAACTTTATTAGTCGTACCACGAATTCATAATCAGCCTAGAGTCCCTATATACAGAGAGTTGCGCCATGACGAGTCGAAAAACTATCGGTCACGTGGTCGCTGGACGACATGTTGTTTCCAAATAGATACGCACGGCTATGGCGGTAAGAAAGTGTACAATTAAACTATCATATCGTGCGAACGATTTGAGTTACATTTCTAGAAATCTAGATACACATAGACACATATCTTAGCTATAATCTCTGTAAATTTTGTCTAATTAATTACTACGGACCATTGTACAGCGTATCCATACAGCGCTGTACTTAAGCGGCAGCGGTGTCGATACATTTGGAAACAACATGGAGTCAATTCCTGAGTTGGCGCAACTCTCTGTATATAGGGACTCTAAATCAGCCTATATACCTTTTCACTTGATTACGTTTCATATTTATCAGCTCGTCCTTGCAATAATGCGATTGTTGATTGTTGAATGCTATGAATGGCGGCCATTTTGAAATTGAAGATAGCGGCCACCGACCGATAATGATTTTGATTGCATTGGGTTTTTTGACTCTGATAATGTTGGTTTAGACACCAAAATAACGTTTCTATGTTGAATATTAGATGAAAAAATAAGGATAATGGATTTGAATGGCGGCCATTTTTAAATACAAGATAGCGCCCAGATACCATGCCGATGGAGAGAGGTACCCGATCTCATATGAATGTACATATCTTAAACTACCTTCATGCCAATTTTCATACTTTTGTCAAAAAGTGCAAAATTATATCCCTTAACTCCTGTAGGCCTACTATGCTATTAAAGCTGTTTTGTGTGTTCCTCAGCGCTTCTACGGGTGATTGTTTAAATTACATGTATAACCCAAATGTATAATTAGTTTTGTTTGTCGTTAATGGAACAATAACACAACACTAAATGCAAAAATTTCCAGAATAAAATTTATTAAATGTAGGGAAATCATCATCTGGTTGCCTCGGTAATTAACGTTTGTTACAAATATTAAATTTCGAGGAGCAACATGGAACGGAAATGACTAGAGGCGAGTGAAATTGGAACTAGATCTCGTCTAGTAATTTAGCGCGTGATTTATCCGATGATACTGTCCCGCCGCGTTGTTGCTATTTCACGATTTTGCTAAATTTTATTTGAAAGAAGAGATATTCGATTGAGTAAGTTTTGTAATCCCGCACCATGTCCCCGCGTCACCACACCGACATACACACGCAGATACACCCATGCGCGTATATTACACACGCACGCTAGCACACACGCAAGATGATGACGTTAGTGATGACGTTAGTGATGACGTTACTGATGACGTTAATGATGAAGTTAATGATGACGTTAGTGATGACGTTGGAGATCGCGATAGTGATGACGTAATGACGTTAGTTTTTTAAGGTTTTTTACGTTACTGATACAAGTTTCAAGTAAGACAATCAATAGAACGAGTCACTTACAGTGGGACCGACGCGTGTGTCCGCGTGCGACGTAGCAGGCATGCGAAGCTGCACTATCGGTTTTGGTTGCTCCAGGTGACGTACTGTTGTGTGGTTTAAAGATGCAACTGTAATAACGCATACCGCGTTCATTTATAACCAGTGATTATCAGTCAAGACGATATATATGCTATATTATATATATATAGCTTAGCTATGTTACTAACAAGCTCATGTAGGTAGGCACGCGCACGCACACCCCGCCTGCACACACACACACACACACACACACACACACACACACACACACACACACACACACACACAC